GATAATGACAAATATTTATTTGGATGTATCTACAGGCTAAATGATGTTTTTTGCTAAATTTTGTTTTTGGCCTGGCAGGCAAATATATAGACAAAAATAAGTTCAAAGACTTACTTATAATGGGTGAATTCTATTTCCCATCAATCAGCTGCTTATATGGCTGTGTTGATGCAATTTCAAATAAGAATGGAATTGAATATAAATTTACAGATATTTTTAATGATAATTTTCTTTATCAGTATATTGACATACCAAACCTCCTGCTTTCAGATGAACAACTTGTGAATACCTAAGATTCGGTCTTTACAACTCATTCAGCGATTGTTAACAAAATAGATTCAAAACTTGTTTTGGGAAATATAAATAGAGGCCATCAATAATATGTTTCTGTTTTATCTTGTCTGATTATGTAATCCGTGAAAATATAAGTAAGCAAAGATTTATTTTTGCTAAGTCCAATTTTGAACTAGTATCTTGTCTAATTTCAAATGTTGACTGAATGCAATGCTTCAGTAATAAAAATGTACAAAAAGTGTTTGATGAACTGATTTTTTTATACTGAGGTGGCATGTAATCATTTCACTTCAATTAAACTCCTTAAAATTAGACCAGCCTCGGTTAATGCAAGGTTAAAGTTTATTATTTGAAGCAAACAAAGTGTAAGATATAAAAACTGCTTATGTTAATGGAAAGACCCGGTTTTGAAATCAAAATACAAACTAATTTACAAAAATGTAGCAGACAAGAATAAAAAAGTGAGACAAAACTTGCCAATTCATTTCTACAAAAGCATTAAAGGGAGAAAATGGTGAAACCAATTAAAAGTCAAAAGATATTGCTGATATCTCAAGATATCTCAAGCTGCATTTGTGAAAGATGATGATGGTGGTCTACAGCCTTCTTTTGATTTAAGAACTACTGAAACATTCATTATGATAAATGAAGACTTTACATATGAAGATGTCTATCTAAGAATGAAAAACTTAAAAGATAACAAATCAAGGTCTTGATAAATTATATTCAGCTATTTTAAAGAATTGTGCATCAGCCTTCGCTAGTCCACTTACGTATATTTTTAAAGAGTTGTTTAAAACAAGCAACTGCCAATGCAATTTAGATAAGCAAATATCACTCCTCTGTACAAAAAAAGGCATGTAAAATATTGGAAAATATAATCAGATGTAAACTTAAGACTTTTCTATATAAGTTCAAAATATTAGTCAAGCAACAGCACGGTTTTTTTAAAAATAAATCATACTTAACGAGTCAACTTGAAACACTTAATTTTATTTCAACCGCTTTAGAGAATGGTAAACTTGTTGATGTTATTTTTTTGGATTTTGCAAGGGTATTTGACACAGTGCCACCTTTAAGATTGTTGTTTAAACTTACAGCTTATGCAATATCTGGTCTGACAATACCATGGATCAAAGTATTTTTAAAAGAAAGAAAACAAAGAGTTATGATAGACAAAAATGTATCATCTTGGGTAGAAAATACCAGTGGTGTTCCACAGGTTTTAGTAATTGGACCAATATTGTTTGTACTATTTATAAATGATTTGTCTGAAATTTTAAAAAATCTAACCAAGCTGTATGCAGATGACACCAAAATTGTAAATGAAACGCTTTCCAGTGCATCAACTCTTTCTTTGAATTAACTCTTTCAGTGCATCAACTCTTTCTTTGAATCAACTCTTTCAGTGCATCAACTCTTTCTTTGAATCAACTCTTTCAGTGCATCAACTCTTTCTTTGCAATCAGATCTTGATTTAGCTTTTAAGTGGATTTAAGACTTGTGAAATTTAATATTTTGAAATGTATAGTCATTCACTTTGGTCGAAATTTAAAAAAAATCACCCCTTTATATCAATGAACAAAAGTTAAACATAACAGAATCTGAAAGTGATCTTGGAGTAATCTTCTCAAGCAATCTGAAATGGAAAAACCATGTAATTAAATGCGTAGGCAAAGCCAACCGAATGTTGGGTTTGATTAGAAAATGCTTTGTTTGTTTTGATAATAGACTTCTAAGAATACTTTATGTTTCTTTTGTGCAACCAAAATTAAGGTTTGAAGTACCAGTTTGAACACGGCTTTAAAAATTCCTAGAGTAAAATTCCCCCTGTAGCATTTTACGCCGGTAAAAAGTTTTATAACATTGACTTCTGCTCAATGGGAGTTAATGGAACGACGTATCAAGCTTCTCAAATTGTTCAAAGAAATTACAAAAATAACCAGTCCAGGTATTTATTGCATTTCTGAGGTAATTCCAGATGTTGTCACGTTGTTAAAATACATGAGAAAGGAAGGGATCTTTGCTTTAATCTGAACTTGCAGCTTTTCCTGACCCAAAGTTTCCTGACCCATGCTTCAAAGCTAATTTCGTAGGTATAGTAAAAACACAAAGAGCAAAAAAAAAAATTCTTTTAGATGCTCTGAAAAAAAATTTTACAACGACTAGTACCGATGATGACTCATTTCCACTTCGGAAGAAAAAAAAATGTCAATGAAAATGATAAAACAATTGAGATGCACAATAGTTTCTGCAATTGTTTTGAAAAAGTTGCACAGAAAACACGCATCTAGATGAAGATAATGAAAAGAAAAGTTCAACAGAAAACGATATTAATTTATTTACAAAAACTGTTCGCCTAGATCGGAAAACAGACCTTTACAAGTGGTGGTCAGCTAATGCAAAACAATGTCCAAGTCTAGCAGAATTTGCTAAGATTTACTTTTCATCTCCAGGTAGTCGTGTATATAGTTAGTGGCTATTTTCGGAAGCAGGTATAGTTTACGAGAAAAATCGGAGTTGTTGGCTATCTGCAAATGCAGACAAAATTGTTTTCATTCATAATAATTTACCGCTGATAAATTTCAAGTATTAAACTAGTTTTATATAAAAAATATTATGAATAATAGAATCTTATATATATAATATATTTATTATTTAACTAATCTGTTTATTGTGTTATTATAGTAATATATATAAGTATAATCTATTTCTAATACGATTTTTTTTTTATGTTTTAGTATTCGGCCAAATAGCTTGCAATATTCGGCCAAATACCGAATAGTATAAAATGTTGTCGAATACACCGAATACCGAATAATTGCCAAATATTCTCTATTATATTTTCTTTAAGAGTTATTTAACAATCATCATCAATCCAAATTTATTTTCCAACAATTATTTCTCTTCTTAAATACGGAAACCTAAGAACATATTCCTAAGCACGTGCCCAAAATAATTATTAGGTTTACAGTTACCTTCATTTTGTGCTAGTATTATTGAAGACATTGTTTTGTATATTTTCAAGTAGTTCCTCTTTATTTCTAGATAAGCTGATGAACACTCCGAATTTTCCATTTAAAAAAAACAGATTTTCGATGGGATTAAAAAATGGATATTATAGAGATCAAAATATCAAAGAATGCCCAACATTCACTATTTCACCATGAAGAACAGAGTTCTTATGAAAACGAGCATTGCTTAAAATTAAAATAGCTCCAACAATTTTATTAACAGTAAATTGTGCTAATACTAGGCGCATAAAATATAAAAGGCGTTTGTAATTTGAAGTTCACGCCTCTTTCCTAACCGATGTCGCAAAACCTTCCACAGAGGTTGGGTTTGAACCTCAGATCCTTTTTTTCTGAAGCAAATGCGCAATCACTGCGCCACGGCTGCTCCGCGGCTGTTGAATAATAGTCCACTAAAAACCGATGCGTAAAATTGTAGTAGATTGCTCAAATTACCTATATAAAACCATTTAAGTTTTTCTCTAAATATGGCTTGGTACAAAACTGCTGTTAAAATATGCGAATTCAACCGCAAGCTACGCAGGAATCATATTATATATGTTCATTACAGGTATCAATTTGGATAGGTCAGGGTAACTATATTTTTGCCAGTTTTTTCTATGTGTAATAATATCAGTCTAACAACATCTGTAAATATAACGTAGTGTAACCACATCTGTCCAACAACATTTGTTAATATGCTGATCTATAATAACATCAGTCTAGCAGCATCTGAAGTTTCATTGATGACGAATAGCATCTATGAAAATGCATATTACTACTACAGTTGCATCTTTTCAATTATCTAAGTATAACAACATCTGCGCAACTACATCTAGAGATTTTACAGATGTAGTTACATCTTTTTAATTATGTTAAGAATATTAAATATATAAGAATAATTAGAAAATCTTGAGTTTGCTATAATGTTTTATAAAGACCTCATACTAAATTAGATTTTTTTTTTTTTTTTAAAAATCCTTGTTTGCCGTTTTTTTATTTTCTTTATCTTCCTGTATTACGTAAGTATTTGAAAATATTTTATTTAAAAGCCATCTTTTAATTTATATCATAAAAAACTTTTTTAGATAATAAATTGGCACAAAAACATGATGTGAAATTATGAGAAGTTACGAGAAAATGAAATTTTTGCTACCAATAACTTATATTGAAATGCTCTAAACACTATTTGGTTTATGTTATCATATTTTTAATATTAAAGCGTTGTGAACCCCATGTACAACCTACCCATGCATGGGATCAAAAATAAATTTGATCTTTCATGTGAACTTTTGAACCTCCGCATGTTTAATGTTTTTAATTTTCGTTTAAAAAACGTAAGCAATACAACGGAGAGCGAAACTTAAGCAATACTACAGAGAGCGAAAAGTATAAATTATAATTGAGAAGCTATAACTAACTTTGTAAATATTAAAAACTCTTTTCAGGAATAATTTTGATGCCCGTTTATACCCAGATTTGCCCGTCTATATGACGGGCCAATTCGTTTCTATAAACTGACGACTTTATTATTAAAACAATTTTAATTAAGATAAGAAACAAAAATTTTAAAAATACAAGGTTCTTTAAATCTTAGTTTCAATTAACTGCATTATACAACGGCAACACTTGTAAATGATTAATTTTAGAGATCAAAAAAGGTCAGAAACCAATAAAAAAAAATTGGGAACAATTTTACCCAGGTATTAGAACTGAATTAATATTATAACTTAAACAATAAATACATTTCTAATAAAAGTAAAAAAAATAACTTACCTTAAATTTTTTACGTCACTTTATTAATCCAGTTATAAAACTTTAGTTTTGGTTTAGAGCACTTTTCCATTTTCATCGTTAAAGAAAGAGTATTCTTTCGAAGTTTAAATCCATTTAAAAGAGTTCTGCAAAATGAACAAAAAATGTTATCTGAATCAAGTATCCAAAGTTTTTTCCATTTAAAATATGAGTTGTACTTTTTTGCATTTTTACTAACAGCTAAAATGTGTTTTGCAAGTGCTCTAGGAGAAGAAAAGCTCATTGCGTCAATAAAAGATCCTGGAATAGCTAATTTTGGGTCGGAGTAGTTAGATCCACCTAACACAATGGGAATCATATCATGGTTAAAGGGATGTTCCCAATACTTTTCACTAATGTAACCATCACATAATGAGTTTTCTGCAGCATAAAAAAACTTATAACTTTTTAAATCAAGATTGCAGGATGTACCATGGCAAGCAGACCAAACAGAAGAAACAGAAAAAGACCAAGGTTTTAACGTTTTGAAAAGGTAAGAACATTTACCAAGAATGTCGATCCGGACACCATAAGACATAAGCTTACTTGCCAATTCATTTCTTTCAGGAGTATCGCATTGGCTGACTAACCATGCAACTTCCTTTGTTTTGTTTGCAAAGTAGTTTTTTTTATTATACTTATTTTTGTTCTGAGCATTTTTGTGAAATCTATAAGGTATATAAATGTCTCCCCCTGTTCCATATACAGCAGTTATATCAAAAAAACTATTAATGTCAATGACTGGAGGGTTATTTAATATTGATTCGAGAGTAAAATAAATCCATAATTGAGATTGTTTCTTTAAAGTATAGAGGCATTCAAGTTCTGAGGTTACTGGCATATCTCGTGAATGAAACAATACTAAATCACTTTTATCGAAATTTTCTTTTTCGTATGTTATTTGAAAAATTGAGGTATTGAAGTTACAGTTGCTCGGTATGAAGAACTTCCATGGAAATGAACGGAAGAAAGGGGTGTATATCAGTATTAAATATTGAGAGTCATTTTTAGCTTTGAAGAAATGTAAATTTTCTAAATAAAAAAAGTCAATAAAGTTTTATTAAATTATAATAAAATAGAAGTATAGAAAATAAAAATAATGAAACCTGATTATTTATTTGCAAGAAAACATTTGTTAAAGTATTTTGAATCTTGAATGAAACAAAAGTAAATACACTACAGAGCCGACGATACCAGGAGAAAGGCACCTGCCCTCCCTCCCCGTCTCCTTCACCACTTTTTTTCTAAAGGACCTATTTTGTTCGTTTTTTTAAAGGAAATTCTAGATACAAAAGACTTTTCTTAAAAATTGACGATTGTGCCCCTCCACTTCGGAACCCGTGTCGTCGGCCCTGCACTATAAAAAAACGTTACCTAAGAAATATTATCAATAAAAAAACTGCAATATAAAAAACTAGCGCAACAAAAATTAACATTAAAATTAATGTTTCAAAAATCTTCTAAGTTTTGTTAGCAACGCATACTTTTTATATCGATTTAACAAGCTTGTTGCAAACTTCGGTTAAACTCTTATTAAAATATCTAGTTGGGTACAACAAGAAATTTTTAACCTATTAAAAGCTTAGGAAAAGGTATACTCTTAAGTAAAATCAAGTTTCATAAGGAGTTTTCTAGAAAAAAAAATTGATCGGCTGAAATATTAAAATTTTCACTTTTAGATATTGAAAAAAATATATAAAATCTTATTTGCAACGTATTTTTCAAGCCAATTATATATTTTGTCCGTATTTATGATAAGAAAAATTTCCGTAACTTTATATTACGGACTTAACCGTATATTTTAGTATGGCTTCTAATTTACAAAGCGACATTTATCTTTTTCTTGAGAAGAGTTTATACACGTATATAATTCAAGTTAGAGATTTTAATCTATATGATACTGAAATTAGTAGTAGTAGTAGTAGCGGTAGTAGTAGTAGTAGTAGTAGTAGTAGTAGTAGTAGTAGTAGTAGTAGTAGTAGTAGTAGTAGTAGTAGTAGTAGTAGTAGTAGTAGTAGTAGTAGTAGTAGTAGTAGTAGTAGTAGTAGTAGTAGTAGTAGTAGTAGTAGTAGTAGTAGTAGTAGTAGTAGTAGTAGTAGTAGTAGTAGTAGTAGTAGTAGTAGTAGTAGTAGTAGTAGTAGTAGTAGTAGTAGTGCCCTTTCGAGCCTGTTTGATACAGAACTCTTGGCAGCCATTGCAACCGAGGCAATGGCGAGAAAGAGTTGCAGCAGTTTTGTTTTACAAGAAAACGTGAACAAAAGTGTATGCAAATATATAACGTACGTAAACTTCAAACTATGTGATGTTAAAACATACTAAAACATATATCAAGTTTTACAGTTTTACTTTCGCTTGAAAATTGCATTGCGTCAACCTCTCCTTAATTTTTGATCTACAGCATTAATTTTCGTCGGAAAAGTTTTGTATATAGTTTTAAAATTTCAAATATTAACTTGCTAGCATGGCTGACTGGTTGGCGCGCTGAGGTTCTGAACAAAAAAGTCATGGTTCAAGTCCAAACACTGGCTACCTTTTTAAGTTTTTTTAGATTTTCAAAAAACAAAATACTTTTGAAGTTTTATAAAGATTATACACAAACAAATCTCAATGATATTAAACATTTTAACAAACAAAAAGATTTTTAAAAAAGCTAAAAATTCTAAAAACATTAAAAAACGAGGGGATATTTGTTACGTATGTCTCATGATTGAGATACTTATGTTATTTTAGTTTTACATTTCAAGTTTTTTTCAATCTAAGTTGAGCTTGTGCAAGAAAAATGAGTATACAACATGTTTATATATAGAATATAAAATCTATTGAATTGTAAAGTTGTTTTGTTTTGCATTTTAAATAGCAAAAATTAAAAAGTAAAGCAAGCGGATGATTTGAACTTGCCACGCAGCGACCTCACCTTTTTCAAAACAGTATGGGAGTTTAAAAAGTATATTTTATATAAGAACATAATGATAATTCTAATTTTATACTTAAATTAAACCAAAATTTTTGATATTGATACAATAAAGAAATTTTACAGCTATTATACCGCGTCCCCGTTGAACATTTAAACCAAGTGCGCAACAACGACAAAATTTAGTTAACGATCAAAATAGTATTATACTTCATTATTTTTTGGCTTTATATACTTTTGGGCTGGTCCCTAATCTAAACTTTTAAATAAGGGATCGTCCATAAATTGCGCAACGCTAAGTTTCACTAAAGAATAAAACAAAAAAGATCAAAATTTTACTTCACATTCGTATATGTTAAATAAAAAATCAAAATATCTCATCAAGTTTAATGAAAATCGCCATCTAAAAGAACTAAAGATCTCCCTCTTTTTTGAAAAAATACTTAGCGTTGCGTATTTTATGGACCATCCCTTAGCGTTTTATTGTCTATAGTTTTTAATGGCCTAAGATCTTCTTAGTTCTGCTATTTGTATAACGTTGCGTAAAAACGTTTGTAAGTGTAAACTTCATTAGCGTATATTGAGTTTGCAGGCAGTATATGGAACAACCGTGTATAATAAATCTATTATAATGAGAAGACTATTGTGTTTTATTTTAGCGATAAGAAAATTTTTTGAAAATTATTATAGATATATAATATAATCAAAATTTTTCTATAAATATTGTAAAAGCACAGCAAGATTGAAAAGTATTCAAATATATTAGGGGAGGTCTTTAAACCCCCAAAACGACACTGATGACAGCGTACTAAATCACTGAGTTATCAATGATATGCGTTTAGGAGAAAGACAAACCTAATTATAAATCTCTTATGAGCTCTAGGTATACTGAAAGGGTGCGCATGTTAATTTTTTTGCTCTTAAAGCAATTTTTTTAAATGAATTATTTTACGTCAAAATATTGAAGTAAAGAAATCATAGGTATAAAAATGACCGGCATGTATTCAATTGGTAGGTTTGGTAAAGACCCGTATTTTATGAGTCCGGAAAGCTAGGATATATATTAGGTAAAAATATTGAAAAGGTTAGAGTAGAATAGACTTAAAAAGACCCGTATTTTTAAGGGTCAGATCAGCTACTGTATTTATATTTGTTTTACTGGAGGTATATAGAGCTATATATATAAGTGCTATATGTTTTTAAGGAAGTGTATTCATTAAAAATTCTCTTTAATATAGATTAAAGATGCTGTTATATGTAGATAGATATTTATTTATTTATAAAGATAGGTACTTCTGAAAATTAGTTTTCTATATTATATAGGATTTATATAATTCAAAAACCTTTACTTACGTATTGAATTTTTTAAAGTTCATATTATTTAGTGTTAAGTTTTTATAGTATATAAAAGAAACACAAAACAATATTAACTTTAAAAATTTCAATTCATAAGAAAAGGATCTGAAAGCATTTTAAATAAATAAACCTCTGGTATAATAACCTCTTGGTAATAAGCTACTTTATTGAATCTTGACAAAATCTACTTGCGTATCCTCACTTGACAAAAATTTTATAACTTATGCTATTGAATTACAAGTCTACATATATACAGTGTAAATTAAATCATTTGGCTCAAGTCTCATAAGAGTATTAACAGCAACATCTGTCTACTTTATTAATAGATTTTATTAATAGATCTTTCCCGGTTTTCGGAGTGTTATAAAAAGGTATTTAAAATAAACAAAATCAAATATTTTTTTGGCCTGTTCTTTTTAACGAATTGTTAGCTTAGAGTTAGTGATCTACCTAAATTTTCGATTTTAGTATTGGCTTCTGCCAAAATTTCAATTTAAACCGATCTAAAAATTCGGTTTCGGTACGTATTATAAATTGGTAAGAAGTTTTGGTTAAAAAACATACCGAAAATTAAACATTCAATTATATATCTCTTGAAATTTTTGTTTAATTTAGAAAAAATATAATTTTTGTAAAAAATATTTCTAAATGAAATTTTAAATCATTGAATATATTAGAAAATTATTTCTTTTAATATCATCTTTTTTTGAACTTAGTAATTTTTTCCGCTATGTTAAAAGTGGCTGAAGTTAGTCCTGTTAATAAAAATAGAGGTTCTAATAATAACTCTAACTACCATCCAATTTCCCTTCAGTATTCTGTAAAGTTATAACAAATTCAAATTTAATTACTTGAAGCTAAAGAAACTTTTACATAAAAATCAATTTGGTTTTTTTAAAAAAGTTGTTCATCAGAACATGCTATCATTATGCTTACAAGTAAAATATTTTAATTTTATGACAAAGGAGACCATTTACTGGGAGCATTTACAGACCTTTGATACAGTTGACGAAGGCATTTTACTAGGGTTTGTAATCCCGGGATCCCGGCCTTTTTTATAATATCGCCAAATGTAATTCTATTTTCAGTTATTCTGTTCTGTAATTCTGCAAAATAAACTTTTTTAAACTGAAAAAAAAACGCGCGTTTCTTACAAGGTTTATTCTTAAAATTAAAACTTAAATAAGGATGGCGTATGTGGATTTTACAATTAAAAGTAACTCAGCTGTTTGGAAATATTTTCTACGAAAAAAAAAAGGGTAAACAGCGATGTGTAAATTGCCAATCTGCAAGAAGATTTTTAAAATAAGTGGTGGTTCAACAAAAGGACTTCATATACACATGTTGTAATGCATAATGTGAAGGTCGAAAGTCCAACCCAACCTAATGTTACCGGAGAAAGCACATCAGATAAACCACCAAAAAGAAATCTAAACAACTAACAGAATACTTTTCAATTTTTGAGATGGATGATAAAACACTTCACGCTACACTTGCTCGTCTAACGGCGTCTGACGGACTTTCATTTAATGTGATTTGTTCTTTAATAGATTTACGTGCCGCTCTAACTGCTA